GAGCTCCAGCTGTCGTGTTCCCTCAAGTCCTTGTTCCCTGTTTAGGAGGTCACCTTTAGTTCTTGTATTTAACCGACCTAGTAACCTCACATGAGTTCGGCCATTTATTTGTAATAAAATCGTTTGTTTTTAAAATCCTGACCCCTTCACCGATACCACCAGCAGTCATAATAAGCATAGGTAATCAAACCTTCACTTAAGAAGCCTTCTCTGGATCCAGATGACCCAATGAATTATAGACCAATATCTAACCTTCCATTTTTATCCAAAGTCCTGGAGAAAATAGTGGCCATCCAAGTATGTGAGCATTTAAACACTAATGCTCTGTTTGAGGAATTTCAGTCTGGTTTTAGAGAGTATCACAGCACTGAAACTGCATTAGTGAGAGTTACAAATGATATTCTCATGGCCTCAGATAAGAATCTTGTGTCTGTTCTAGTCTTGTTAGATCTCAGTGCTGCCTTTGACACAGTTGATCACAATGTTCTTTTAGAAAGACTTGAACATGTTGTAGGGATCAAAGGAGCAGCGTTAGGCTGGTTTAAATCCTACCTGTCTGACAGATTTCATTTTGTAAATGTACATGACAAATCATCTTCATACTCCAGGGTTACTTGCGGAGTACCACAGGGTTCAGTGCTTGGACCAATTCTTTTTACTACATATATGCTCCCAATTGGTAAAATCATCAGACAGCATGGGATAAACTTCCACTGTTATGCTGACGATACTCAGCTATATTTATCCATTAACCCTGATGAGCCTAATCGGTTGGGTAGATTACAGGCTTGTCTTGAGGACATAAAAAATTGGATGACTCTAAACTTTTTGCGTTCAAATCAAGACAAGACGGAAGTTCTCATCTTTGGACCAGAAATCCAGAAAAGGAAATTGCTTAGCCAATCACCTGACCTGAATGGCATTACATTAATCTCCGAGAACAAAGTAAGGAACCTTGGTGTTATCTTTGACCAGGACATGTCATTCAAATCCCAGGTTTTACAAGTTTGTAGGATTTCCTTTTTCCACCTTCGGAATATTGCTAAGATTAGAAGCATACTTTCCAGGAGTGACGCTGAAAAACTAGTTCATGCATTCATTACATCAAGACTGGATTACTGTAATTCATTACTCTCAGGAAGTCCACAGAATGTAGTTAAAAGTCTTCAGCTTGTCCAAAATGCTGCAGCTAGAGTTCTGATGAGAATTAAAAAGAGAGATCATATCTCTCCTGTCTTAGCTTCCCTACATTGGCTACCTGTTAAATTCAGAATAGATTTTAAGATCCTCCTTCTCACATACAAAGCTCTTAATAGTCAAGCTCCATCATACATCAGTGATCTGATTGTTCCATACGTTCCTAACCGAGCACTTCGCTCTCAGACTGCAGGTCTACTGGTGGTTCCCAGAATATCTAAAATTAGGATGGGAGGCAGATCTTTTACCAGGCTCCTCTCCTGTGGAACCATCTCCCAGCTTTAGTTTGTGAGGCGGACACTTTGTCTACTTTTAAGAATGGGCTTAAAACATTTTTATTTGATAGGGCCTATAGTTAAAATCTGATGTTAGCCTAGATAAGGACAAGTGGGGGAGTAGAGGGAGGTGGAGTGTACAGTCGGTAAAGACGGCTCTCCCTTGCCCTGCCTCCAACATGCCTCCATCTAAATAGGATAGATTATCCAGAGTTATCTCTGTAGTTATGCTGCTATAGGCTTAGACTGCTGGAGGATACACTGACCACTTTCCACACTCTACTACTTTCTTCTACAATCTGCTCTTTAACTGAGAACTTTCTGCAATTTCAGCTGTTAACTTTATTTTCTCTCTAAGTGTTTTTCTCCCCAGAAGAAGCTACAACGATGTTCTGCTGAGCTGTGGTGGCCTCATGGAAGGAGCCATCGTCTAGCACACTGCTGCTAACCACTAAAACATTCTTCCTCTCCTGATAATAACTTTTTGCTTTCCTTCACGTTGGATGTGCTACTACTAGTTTACCCGTTTAATTATAGATTCTCTAGGATAAATACAATAAAGTTTATCTCTCACCAAATAGAATATTTACTAAGAAATCACAATATAACTATTGTAACGTGAGGAAATATGGGTTTTCTGTGCCAAAGGTTTCATTTGACTCGGCTAGGTCAAAGCTGGGTCGCTGAGAACTTCCACCCACAGATTAAGACCTGAACGCCAGCGAGTCTGGGAGAAACCATAACATCTGAACACCTGCAGTGCCAGAAGATGTGCTCTCATGGAAAAGCTAGTCATAACATAAGTCTTAAACTTCCTTTCCTTTATTTTAAGTTGTTAAATGATCAGTATTATCACTTTGCTCATTATAAATGTGTTTTAATCAAATGAATGATTATTATGCTTTGGGTAATCATAATAACTAATGAATCAATGCTTAATTAAATAATGTTTTGAGGATGTTTGGTAACGACCTTCACACACTCAAACACTCACTCAAACACTCACACACACACAAACTCTCACAGTAAATTCCAAAACACATTTGCTCTGACGCACACGTTTGCTTTGAGAAGAGAAAGGCTTTTGGTAAGTTTTCAGTTCATGATTCAGTTCGTGTTTGACAATCAAAGAGGGGGGACTTGTGAACAACGCCAACGGGGAACGGGGCTGCGGCTCCTCCCCCCAACCCCCCCTCACGCTATTCCTGCCAAGCCAGACAGGATAGCTGAATTGCAACCGCTAACGCAGACTCGTCCAGAGTCTTTGATTTTCTGAGTAAATTAAACTTAAGAAAGCGCATCTGCAAACGCTTCATCATCACGTGTACCGAGGTCATCTCTGGACCGGATCGGCGGCCACCTTCGTCTTCTCTGCCAGCCGAGGTGCCCTGGATGAAACATTGTCCTTTGATGTTCTGGATCTGAACGAGGGTCCTTGTACGGTGAGGCAGAACACAATAGATAGCGTTTGATGCATCTTTTCCAACGAAACCTAAGTTTATTCAAACCATCACTTTTCACTCAGACACCTGTTTCTTCCTGAAGCAAAATCAGACGCACACACGCATTCATCTCACCTCACATTAAATTTCACACATTCAACACAAGGTCTATTTGAGCAAGTTTACAATATCAACTGTTAAAGATTGTTCAACAAAGTTGCCAATGTTGATTGTTATTTCCTATGCTTGTCAATTCAAAATCATTAGTTTAATTTGAAGAATTAAATCTTTTAACTTTCAAACTTGTCTCTTCATTGAACTGAAACACAGACCCACGGATATTATCGACAGTTTATCGATGAAAACAACCTTTGAGTCTTCTTAAAACTATAAAATTTGGTTATTAATTTATTAAAATTAATATCTCAAATTAATATGTAGAATGGTTCCTCTTTCATAAAAGAGCATAAACCATTACTCTACATAATTGACAGAGCCTAATCAGGTTCACTACACTATAGACACATTATTGTGTGTGTGTGTGTGTGTGTGTGTATGTGTGTGTGTGTGTGTGTGTGTGTGTGCGATTGTGCTTGTGTGTGTGCGTGTGTGTGCGTGCGTGTGTGTGTGCGTGCGTGCGTGTGTGTATGTGTGTGTGTCTGCTCTGTCTTCTCGATCCCCAGTGAGTCGTGGAGGATGGCTGTGTTGTGAACCTAAATTAGGCTCTGCCAATTCTGTAGGACTATGGTTTATGAGACGTAGGTGTCCTGCGAGCCCGGTCCAGAGATGCCCGCGGTACACGTTGATGGACAAACGTTTGCAGATGCGTTTTGTTAAGTTTAGTTCACTCAGAAATCAAAAGACTCTGTATGAGTCTGCGTTAGCAGTTGCAATTCAGCTGTCCTGTCTGGCTTGGCAGGAACAGCGTGAGAGGGGGGGGGAGAGAAAGGAGCCAGTGGGCTCCGTTCCCCTGTTAGCGGTTGTTCACACGTCCTCTCTCTTTCGTTGTCAAGCACGAACTGAATCATAAGACTGAAACTTACCAAAAGCCTTTCTCTTCTCAAAGCAAACGTGTGCGTCAGCAAATGTGTTTTGGAGTTTACTGTGAGAATCTGTGTGTGGGTGTGTTTGAGTGTGTGTGTGCTTGAGTGTGTGTGAAGGTCGTTAACAAACATCCTCAAACATTATTTAATTAAGTATGGATTCATTAATCCATTATAATTACCCAAAGCATAAGAATCATTCATTTGATTAAAACACATTTATAATGAGCAAAATGATAATGATTATTCTTTAACATTAAAATCAAGAAAGGAAGTTTAAGACTTGTTATGACTACATTTCCTGGGAACCCATCTTCTGGCAGACTGCAGGTGTTCAGATGTTATGGTTTCCAGCAGACTCTTGCAGACTTCATGTCTGCAAAGGTCTCAATCTGTGGGTGAAAGTTCTCAGTGACCCAGCTCTTTGACCCAGCCGAGTCAAATGACCTTTGTGACAGAAAACCCATATTTCCTCACGTTACAGCTGCTTATACTGAGCCAGGATTCTCTGGAGGTTTCTTCCTGTTAAAAGGGAGTTTTCCTCTCCACTGTCGCTTTATGCTTGCTTAGTATGAGGATTGCTGTATAGTCACTAACACTAGTCAGTGACTTGATGCGATTTGCTGGGTTCCTTATATAGGAAACCTTATTTCTGATTGGCTTAATGAACTGACCTGTATTGGAATGTTTATTATGTGAAGTGCCTTGAGACGACTCTTGTCGTGATTTGGCGCTATATAAATAAAATTGAATTGAATTGAATTGAACAACATCCTCGGAAACTTTATCAAATCCAAAAGAATGTTTTTTTTACATGAAACCAAACCGATTACATTCTATCTGCATGTGGTTTGATCCACAAACATGGAATGAAGTGTGAACCTGCAGTGAGTTGGGATGCATAGCCGAGACAGCTAGAGTGTGTGAGAGAGAAGGGGGGAGGGGTTGAACACCTTATCGAGGAGAATGAGGGGGTGGAGGAGAGGGCAGCTGGATGAGAGAGGTGGTGATGGGGGGGGGGGGGGGGGGAATCAAAGTGAAGGAGGAGACAGAGGAGGAGATGCGAGAATGAGAGATAGCAGCACTGCAGCGAAGAGGAGCTTCCTCCTGCCGCTGCAGCGACTGTTTACTCCACTTCTCCTGAGAGCCGGTTATCTCCCCCCTCTCCTCCTCCTCACCCCCCTCCTGCATGAGTCATGGAAATGATTTAGTGTAGGTGAGCGGCGACAGAAGCTAGAGACCTGCTCGTGTGTCTGCATCGTGGGCAGGTAAGCTCTGTCTGCGTCTTTCTCATTTCACTCCCTTTATTTTCTCCTCTGCATCCTCGTCTCCATCTCCCAACTTCGCCAGAGTTTGTTCCGGCTTTTCTTCCTTCGCTCTCCGGTTCACCAAATCCCCTCTTGGAGGAAAGGAGTAGTTTCAGCTGGACGGTGTGTGAAGTGAGAGGAACAAGCTGCAGGTTTTCCCTGACAGTCTGAGGAGCGTTGAGAGCCTGTGTACTGATAGGCGGACTCAGCGGGGATGAGGGTTGGAGGAAGATGAGTCAAAGCTCTGCTTGAAGGGATACGGATGATAATACCAGTGGTGATGATGTAAATCAGCGTGAAAGCAGAGAGAAAAAAGGAGAAATCCAGCTGAAGTTAGCCCTGGATGTTCATCCCGTCTGCTTTACTGGTTTAGAAGCTCAGGTTTTGTGTGTGATACTTGTTGGATCTTGTGCCTGCAGATGGCTGGTGAGGGGAGCCCTCCTGAGTGACAGCAGCAGCTCTATCGTGGCTCTCATCAGGACCAGAGCTAGTGAAAACGGCAGCTCAGGCTGACACAAATCCCTCATCCCCTCGGCGGTGAGAGAATAACCTGCCTTCATCTCACGGTGGGATTAGTGTGATTCAGTGCTGCTCCTCCTCAGCCCGCCTGTGTTTGTGTGGGGTTTGACTTATAATGGCAGCTAATTGCATCATATGTTATTTCCAATAGGACACTGTCAAACAGGATGCCGTCTTCAGACACATATGGCAGCTGTAATGAATGTTGGCTCTTCTCTTGACCCTCATCAAAAATACTGCTGGCAGAGGTGCTGGCAGGACTTATTGGAGCCTTTAAATTTTCAAATTACATTTATTGCTGGCTGGATTTACCGTCAGCCACTCTCCGTTGGTTAACTCCAGAGGATGCTTGTATCTTTGTTGGCTGTGAAAATGTAAAAAATATTAGGGTCATCATCCTCACATTGATCTGCAAGCCCTTTCTCCATCCCTGCTCCTATAAAATCATTGATTTGTCTCTTCCTGTGTACCTGCATCCCTTTCATCGTGATTGGTCCAGATTTAATGGGGAGATCAATGAAAGGAAATGGCTTTTACCTGGACTGACCTCATTGGTGTGCTGAGTTTGGAAAGAGAAAATCTCTGCCTTGGATTCGGTTTAGCAGTCTGTTCACTCCTCGAGGTACTTTTAAAATTCAAGACAGTAAAAGTTTTGCAGGTGGTGAAACGGTCCTAATCAGAGATCAATGAGCAGGCAGAGGTAAGGTTAGGGTAAGAAAGGCAGCCGAGGATCGTTCAGCCTAACAGAAGGCACGATTAGAAATGTCCGGGTCATTTCTAAACAGAAAATCATGTTTAGAGTCTGAAGTTGATGCAATTTGCTGGGTTCCTTATATAGGAAACATTATTTCTGATTGGCTTACTGAACTGTGAATTGGAATGTTTATTATGTGAAGTGCCTTGAGACGACTCTTGTCGTGATTTGGCGCTATCTAAATAAACTTGAATTGAAGTTCTGATTTTACGGAAAAGCTCCTGGAGTTGTTTCCTTCACAGGGAACACAGATATACAGTCTGCAGACTAAAGATTAAAGTAACACTCGGTAAGTTCTTTCTAATGGTTGAAATAAGAACTACAACTGCCGTAAACAAACCTGCCGTAGCTCTTGTAGCGCTAACAAGGAACTAACGCTAACATGAGCCAACTGATGCTAAAAAAGCCACAGAGCAAAAAGATCCACACTATTGGACAAAAATATTACTATTTACAGGTCCAGTAGTAACAAAGCCAGGTCACCATCAGTCTGTGATTTTGTTGCATCCTTCAGCTCCCTTCAGCGAGTGAAGGCCGATGTTCACTCTGGTTACTCTTTTACCTTTGCGTCCAAATTTCTTCTTTTTGAGCTGTTTATTGACAGTCGGCGAACTGAAAAAGCTAACTGCTAGCCTTCCAGCACACTAATCAGCTGTTGTCCTAAAGCTGAGACCTCCCACTTGTGCTCCTACTTGAGCCACAAGACTGTTATTTGCTGTTTTTGGTCAGCAGAGGGCTGCAGAGAGTCTTGAAGTCTGTCAAGTTTCTGCCTCAAGAACCACTGAAACCAGTTTGGAACCAGTAGCTTAAAGTATCAAATAGTGATGTGTCGGCCGTGATCTAAACGGGTGTCAGAGCAGGCTAGTTGACGTGACCAATAGGAGCCAGCTACCTCTTGGAGGAGTCAAAGTGAGTAACAGCTAATGTACTCTGGAGCCGCTAAGAAAATGGTCACATGGACAATCATTGCAGTAACTGATGGACCTGTAATTATATGTGGGGCAAAAAAGTATTTAGTCAGCCACCGATTGTGCAAATTCTCCCACTTAAAATAATGGCAGAGGTCAGTAATTTACATCATAGTTACACTTCAACTGTGTGAGACAGAATGTGAAAAAAATCCATGAATTCACATGGCAGGATTTTTAAATAATTTATTTGTAAATCAGGGTGGAAAATAAGTATTTGGTCACTTCAAACAAGGAAAATCTCTGGCTCTCACAGACCTGTAGTAAAAAGCTTTTCTGTCCTCCACTCGTTACCTGTATTAATGGCACCTGTTTGAACTCATTATCTGTATAAAAGACACCTGTCCACAGCCTCAAACAGTCAGACTCCAATCTCCACTATGGCCAAGACCAAAGAGCTTTCGAAGGACACCAGGAAAAGAATTGTAGACCTGCACCAGACTGGGAAGAGTGAATCTACAATAGGCAAGCAGCTTGGTGTGATCCCAAACACACCGCCCGGGCAACAAAGGAGTGGCTCCGTAAGAAGCATTTGAAAGTCTTGGAGTGGCCTAGCCAGTCTCCAGACCTCAACCCCATAGAAAATCTGTGGAGGGATTTGAAAGTCCATGTTGCTCGGCGACAGCCCCAAAACATCAATGCTCTCGAGAAGATCTGCATGGAGGAATGGGCCAAAATACCAGCTACTGTGTGTGCAAACCTGGTAAAGACCTATAGTAATCGTTTGACCTCTGTTATTGCCAACAAAGGTTATGTTACAAAGTATTGAGTTGAATTTCTGTTATTGACCAAATACTTATTTTCAACCCTGATTTACAAATTCTTTAAAAATCCTGCCATGTGAATTCATGGATTTATTTTTCACATTCTGTTTCTCACAGTTGAAGTGTACCTATGATGAAAATTACTGACCTCTGTCATCATTTTAAGTGGGAGAACTTGCACAATCGGTGGCTGACTAAATACTTTTTTGCCCCACTGTATATGTGGGGACAAATCTGTAAAAGAGGAGAACATAAAAACAAGTGAGGACATGATTGAAAACGGATCAGGCAGCTAGATTTGGACACATTTTAACTACAGTAACAATTAAAAGTCAGAGTGTGGAAATGCAAAGGGTAAATATATCCAACAGGCTCTGATAGTTAACGTTAATAAATGTTTTACTTGCAGAGTTTGTTTTATCATCATTTAAAAAGTGTTTTTGTAGCACGCTGCTTCATGTAGAATGAAATAAGTTATTTCAATAACAAACATTTCATACATTGCACATTTGAAGATTAGTAATACAGTTTACGCAGTTTTGTATAAATTCAAGAAACAAAACATTGTGAGGAGCCATTTGAGAACTGAAAGAGACGGTTCATTTTAGTGAGCCGAGCCATAAGAGCAGTTCTTTTAAAAGAGCCGGAGTCCCCATGACCAGTGTCAAAAACTCTTCAGTGTTTCTGGCTATGAGCGCCTTGAATGGCGGCTCTTGTGGTCTGCCTGTATCTGTTTTTTCTATATGTTTTGTGTAACCTTGGTCAGGCTGTATTGCAGACTCAAATATCTATGCTTCGGGATGCTGGAGCACGGATTTAACCAGATAACCAGCACACCGCAGACCACGGCCTCTCTGTGTGAGGATCTAAACGCATTCTACGCCAGATTCGACTCAGCGAACACCATGAGACCGGACAGTGAGCGCACCGCGGATGACGTCAGTGCGCACACTGTGTCTGAAGAGGATGTGCGGAGGTGCTTCAGGAGGGTGAACGCACGCAAAGCTACTGGTCCGGACGGGATTCCTGGCCACGTCCTCGGGTCATGCGCGGCTCAGCTGGCTGGAGTGTTTACACACATCTTCAACCTTTCCCTCTCTCTGTCTGTAGTCCCAGCCTGCTTCAAAATGGCCACCATTGTCCCTGTACGCAAATCCTCCACCATCTCCTCATTGAATGACTGGCGACCTGTAGCCCAGACCCACATCGTGAGCAAATGCTTCGAGAAGTTGGTCAGGGACTTCATCTGCTCTGCACTGCCCGATTCACTGGACCCTCTACAGTTTGCATACCACCACAACAGGTCCACTGATGATGCCGTAGCCCTGACACTCCATGCTGCCCTGTCACACCTGGAGAAGAGGGACACGTATGTGAGAATGCTGTTTGTAGATTACAGCTCAGCATTCAACACCATCGTTCCATCGAAGCTAGACAGGAAACTGCAGGATCTAGGACTGAGCAGCTCCCTCTGCAGCTGGATCCTTAACTTTCTGTCTGACAGATGCCAGGTGGTCAGACTGGCCAGCACCACCTCATCCCCCATCACACTGAACGCTGGTGCTCCACAGGGGTGTGGGCTGAGCCCTCTCCTGTACTCACTCTACACCCACGACTGCATGGCCACGAGAAACTCCAACATCATTGTGAAGTTTGCAGACGACACCACAGTGGTGGGTCTCATCACCAACGACGATGAGACGGCCTACAGGGAGGAGATCAGCGCCCTGACCCACTGGTGTCAGGACAACCGTCTCACCCTCAACGTCACAAAGACAAAGGAGTTGATAATGGACTTCCGGAGGTGCAGAGGAACACCCCCCCCCCCCCATCACCATCAACGGCGACGCTGTGGAGAGGGTGAGCAGCTTCCGTTTCCTTGGAGTTCATCTGGCTGAGGATCTTACGTGGTCAGTGCACACGAACAATACAGTGAAGAAGGCACAGCAGCGCCTCTTCTTTCTCAGGAGACTGAAAAGATTTGGCATGAGCCGCCGCATCCTCAGGACCTTCTATCGCTGTGCCATTGAGAGCATCCTCACTGGATGCATCTCCACCTGGTATGGCAACAGCACCGCTTACAACCGCAAAGCTCTCCAGAGAGTAGTGCGGTGTGCCGAAAGGATTATTGGAGGTGAGCTGCCCTCCCTCCAAGACATCTACAGGAAGCGGTGCCTGAGGAAAGCGGGGAGGATCATCAAGGACTCAAGTCACCCCAGCCATAAACTGTTCAGACTACTTCCATCAGGAAGGAGGTTCTGCAGCATCCGGTCCAGAACCAGCAGACTGAGAGACAGCTTTTTCCATCAGGCCATCAGACTGCTGAACACTTCACAGACACCTCACCCTCACTACTGAAACTCCAACATTACACACTCCATACTGTACATTAATGCCACTGTTTTGCACATACCAACCTCTGTACATTTTATATCTCTTATCTTATGGTTTACTTTATTCATTTGTTAAATATGTATATACACACTATACACACTCACATGCACACACATAGAAAAATAAAAAATAAAATACTTAGCACACACATTTAGTAATGTATATACCTTACATACAATATATATTATTACTTAGATTAGCCATTTTTATATTTTGCTTGTTTTTACGTTATTGTATTTTGCACAACTGTTGCTGTGATGCTCGCACACAAGAATTTCACTCGCATGTACTGTACCTGTGTACCTGCACATGTGACGTGACAATAAAAGTGATTTGATTTGATTTGGATTCTGATGGCTAAATTCAGCTCAGTGAGAAACCCCTTTTCTTCAAACAACTCCATATTCTTTAAAATCTTCTTGTTTTACTATTTTCTTTAAGTTAATTGAATGCCTTTGTAGGGAGCTAAGAAATGCTCTACCGATTAGTTGACCAGCCAGGTAAAGGGCTACAAACTCATTTCTGCATCATTTAATAATAATGTGTAATTTAATGATAGTTTTGCATCTTTATTCCTTAAAGAAATCTCAAACCCAAGAAACATTCGATTGGCTCTGAGTTCATTATTCACGTAACACACACACACACACACACACACACACACACACACACACACACACACACACACACACACACACACACACACACAACCCCAGATTTGTAGCTTTCCATTAGTTAAGAGAAATTTGGAAGGTGGGTGGATGTCCGTACTTGTAGGCAGTCTAGTAAAGTCCATCTGCTCATATCAGTCTGTGTTTTTTTAATCAGGTCTGAAGGCTCTCGGGAATCCAACCCGTTCCCTCCCGTAGTTTAGCATCTTGCATGCAGCAGGAACAGAACATGTTTTAGTCTCACCAAATCCAAACACAACAACCTCTGAGCCCCACACAGAAGATGCAGACGACCAGTACAGGACTTCCTGTTAGTCTAACTTATGTTTCATGCTAAGATGTTAGAAGACCCATCTATTTTTGTGGATCTTTGCCATTTTTCCTCTTTAAAAGTCATATTTCCTGCATAGATTTTAATAACCTCAATGCTCTGCATAAATAAACTGAATGGAATCAGACAGTCACAGTTTCAGTGTTAGTACCTGAATGTGTTAGAAGCTATGAAGGTTGGAACATAAATCTACCCGTGTCTGCATGTTTTAGATGTCAGGAGTGAACTTGTACTTATAATTAATGAGATGTTAGCTGTGGAGGCTGTCAATAATAAGCTGAATATGGATGCATTGTTTTGGAAATGAGCATTTTCACTAGAGAATGTGGTGTCTGAGTGTGACAGAACATGCTGTCCTCCCTGTAATGGGCCAACAGTTCATTAGAGGATGTGTGGCTGAACACAAACAACAGGGTTTGTTGAATGATTAACTCGGATGGGCAGCCTGATTTTCTCTTTCCTTCTTCAGTTTTCTGAAGGTCACCTGTTGGGACTGAAGTATCCATGTCAGGAAAACCAAACCCCAAAGCGACAGAACTACAACCTGACCTCAACAGCAGGCAGGTAGGATTCTGCTTTCACTACCTTCTTCTTGCACTCATGTCACATTTTTGCACATTTTATTTGTTGCAACCAGAAAACCTTATCAGAGTTTGTCTCACCATTCCACCCAGAAGTGTGGACTCACCCGAGTTCAGTCTGGAAGCGCTAACTGTCTGATGCATCTAAAGATTAGTGGAAGAGCTGCAGCAGTCAGTATCCCTGGAATGGCGCATTCTTGTTGATTCCAACACCAGACATGTGAAGATGGTTGATCATGTTTTTGCCTGTGAGTTATTGTGTCTGACTAAATGCCTCACAAAGCACTGAATGGATCCTAAATACATTCTCAGAAAATAATCCTTAGATGCTCGTTTTCCATCTGATCGACTACCAGTTCAAGATGGCTGCCACAAATGATCAGGGTTAGCAAACAGAAATGGCTTTGACTCAGGAGGTTCTGGTGTAGCAGCTTGGAGGCATTTACATCACACACTCTGAACACACAAGGGATACGTTGCAACTTTTCATATTTTTAAATCATTTTCTTGAGCCTGTATGTTCCAAAATGACCCTTTACAGGGTCAATGAAAGGCAACCCAGCCCCCATGGCCAGAATATTCCACTTGCAACTTCAGACTTGTGAGCCGCTCGGTTGGTGATGCAGTCTGCTTGCAGCACGTTTCCTGCAAGTTTCAGATCATGAACACAGCTGATTTGTTTAACTTAGGGATGAATCACTCCTGTAGACAATGAGGAAGGATGGGAGATGTTTCAGCCGTTAGATCAACGTGTTGAATAGATAAATACACAGTGAGGAGATTGGTTTTGCTTTCAGGTCTACAAACGGACACTAGGGGGTGCTAAAAGCCAAAACTGCCCCTTTAAAACTCTACTTTATCATCATCATCATCATTTCTGAACATAAAATGCTTTTAGATAAAAACAGCAAAATGTAGTAGATGTGCAGCCCATCAGCAAAATATTTGCCTTTTAGGTGTTTTATTTGTTTTATTATTGTATTGTTACTATAATATTTTGGTAGCACATTACATTACAGCTTGCTAATAACATGGTAATAGTGTGGTAATGCTACTGTAACAATTGGGTAACAACTGGGTAAAACTGTGTAATTTGACATGTTACAAAGAAATAATCAAAAACTTTATGGTCCAGTCCAGATCAGCAATACAACACCTACTAAGTCCTAATAGTTGTCTAAACTTTAATGAGAAGCAGGAGGACTTTTCTGAGCCTGATGCCACGTGGTTCTGCCGCAGGTCACATGATGTAAGCGTGTTTTCCTTACAGGTCAGTTGTGATCTGACATCTCTATAGAGAATGAGATGATTGCTACTGCTTACATAATGTGCTGTTGGAGTAAATGTTTGGTGGGAACAGTACCAAGAGCGTCTACATGGCGTTTTCTTGTTCATCAGCTGTTGTGGCCTTATCTGAGCCCTTATGTCGGACACGCATTCCTTATGGTGTCCTGTTTGGGACAAACGAAGACAAACACAGCAGGGGTCTCTGCTTCATACCAACCAAAGACACACTCAGCTCATCCCAATACGAAGACTTCACATCACAGTTCTGCCACACATCAGCATACCTGGCAGTAGGGTTGGGCATCGTTTGAATTTGAATGATTTCGATTCCAATTACTCGTTTCAATTCTGGTTCCTATCGATTCCCGATTTCGATTTTTTTCAAGTGGCAGAATCAAAAAACATTACATGTTTTGAACGCGCCAGCTAACCACAAGTCTTACTTGATGAAATAATCTAAAACAACATGAATTTTTATTTCATGATGAATAAAATCACCTTCATTTAGAATAGAAACATGTTTTCAAGAAAGAAAGAAAAAGACTCACAGCACAATCAGTGTGATTGTTTCTGACCACAGCCAAAGTCTGGAAGAAGCCTCCAGGATGAGGGAAAACGTCTTCAACACAACCAGAAAAGTCCAGCTGTTTTCAGCTAAAACTCTCAGGATGATCACGTCCAGGATGACTGCGGGTCTAGGCCGATGCGTTGCAGCAGCCATTCAGTCACGTTGCTGCTGTCCATAACAATCTAACAGTTTAAAATGTCAAAATTCTCAACAGACTAAATACTTCAAATAATAAATAAAAGAACTCACAACGTTATGTGTTGTGAGATGCTTTTATTTATTTATTTATTTATTTATTTATTCATTTATTATCTGCTCCTATACCAGAACGCTGTGTGGTCCACCACAGACAAAGGCTGCTAGCATGATGACTTTAATTATTTTACAGCTCAGTCTTCTGACGGTCACAGTGGCTGCGTTTGACTGTTGATGCTCTGTGTGTGTTTTTATTTCTGCAGCGAGACAAGCTCACCTCACACTGCCCGGAGTTTCTTCTGTCAAACTTGTATTCATTCTTCTGTGTTGACGCATTTTAACGAGCTTCCTCTGCAGCGTATATTTTCGCTGCAGGAGTTAAAAGTTTGTCAGACATGTTTGCATTTTTGCGGGCTGCAGAGTAGTTTTTTTTCTGCAGTCACTGAGTAGGACCAGCAGACATCTGGTATGATCGGCTCTGTAGGACTTGATTAGAATTGGCCGAACAGTTTTTTTTCTCGCAGAGATCAGCTGCAGATTCCTCTTCCGATCGGCACCGTGGGAATTGAAACGAATCAAAACAAAACACGATTCTGAGAAAAACTGATATTTACTCCTGGTTCCAACCGAGGCGATGCTCGATGCCCAAACCTACCTGGCAGAATACACAACTACAATGTTATTTTACAGGCAAATTCAAGTGTTCACGCTTTTAAAAGCTGTTGTTCAACTAAATATAAAATCTTCAGCATTTGAAGACTAATCTGAGCCTTTCAGCCCTACCAGAGATCCTTTTAGTCTATGTATGAAACTAAAGCTGCTAATGGAAATCTTTTAGCTCATCGTTTCCAGATTATAATTTTCAGTGAGAAGCAAAGGAAAAGGCTCGAACAGGAAAAGGATCATCTACACCTGAGGTACGAGGGGTGAGCGGCGCATGAAGAGAAGTTAAAGTTGGAAGGAGAAACAGATAAGGAGGCAGGACTCCTCCTCCTCTGAGCTGCAGTGTGACATGCTTTCCACCTTCACATTTGAACCGTTCACTTAATGGGACTTTTTCAAACCTATACCCACACTTTAAAAATAAGTGACAGGGCTGGTATTTTTCTGAGCTGGGCTTGACTTGAGATGTACCAAAAAATCCTATAAAAAAGTGACATTTTTCCTGCCGTGTTTCCTCTAACTGAATGAAATGTTTGTGGGAGTTATTTCTGATAAACACCTGTAGGATTTATTCATGAGCTAGAAATCTAAATTATTTATTAAATTACGTACCAGTGATTTAGAGCTGAATCGTTGACGTAGTTTGACAGAAACCTTGTCGCCAATTGTTCCTGCTCATAAAACCATCATGGTGTCAAACTGAAAGTAATGAGATGTTTATCTCTACGTGCTCATAAGTCGACATCCTACCCATAATCCACTGGGTTTTATTATGGAATTTGCAGCTATAACAGTTTTAACTCTTCGACGAAGGCTCTCCATAAGGAGCTAGACTGGACCGACAGCAGCGGAGGAGCGGCGTGACAGCGGCGGTGACGAGAGTTTGCTGTTGCTAGCTCGGCTAGCGCTAGCCATTCAACTGAAGATTGGGTTAAATAATACTAAATGCCTAAAAAACACACAAAGATATGCTGGCTACGGAGGACATGGAGGATATCAAGCGCTCCCTAAACTTTAAGTCGGGTGAACTGACAAAGTTAACATCGCAGCAGGAGCATTTGTTTAAACTTGTCAATGAAGTGAAATTGCTATAAACAGTGCTGACGGAACGGGACAAGAAGATAGCTTTGTTGGAGGAGAGGATTGAGGAGTTGGAGCAGTACACGCGGAGAGAGGACCTGGTGATAACCGGGCTGGAAACGCGACATAAAAGTTATGCCAGAGCTGCAGTTAATGCAGACACAACAGAGGATGCACCGCGGGAGGAACTACAGTCGCTGGAGCAACAAGTGGTTGGCTTTCTGCACAGTAAGGACATAAACATTAAAAGTGAGGCAAAATCCATCTGCCACACACTGCCCAGGAACACGGACAAAGCTAAACCAACTATAATAATTAGATTCACCAGCAGGAAGCAGAGAAATGACGTGTTAATGCAAGCTAAAAAACTGAAAGGAACGAAGGTGTTTTTAAGTGAACACTTGACGAAAAAGAATGGGGACGTAGCAAGAGAAGCAAGGAAGTTAAGAAAACTACAGAAAATTACTGGCACTTGGACCCGGAATGGAACTGTATGGATACGTGACCTGGCCGGATCTGTGAAGCCGATAAAAAACATGACAGAACTTGATAAGTACAAGCAGAGAAGGATCCAGGAGGAGGCAGCCAGTACTGAATCATGAAAGGAACAAGGTCGGATACAAACACTGAATGGACTCAATAACTTTTGAATGGACACACATATTAGCTCAATAGATGAAATTCATGATAAAATATATGAATTAGAGAAGAATACAGATTATAATTTGCTTTTTCCTGTTATTAATGAATGTAAATAATATACAGTGGGAGAATATAATGATATAATAGGGCCTGTGATGGATAGAGCACTGACTATTATTCATTTCAATAGCCGTAGTTTAAAGTGTTATTTAGGAAAAATAACAGATTATTTGAATCAAGTTAGTAAACGCTTCAGTATAATTGCAGTGACAGAAACATGGTTAATGGAAACTGATGTAAATGATGTTCAGATTGAGGGTTATAATTTATATTATTCCAATAGCATAGATCAAGGGGGTTGCTTTATATGTAGATGTTAAATTCAAATGTAAACTTGTGGGGCACATGACAACTGTTATTAGTAATATTATGGAAATGGTTACAGTAGAGATAATCAATGAAATGGGTAAGAATATCATCATCAGGTGTGTTATAGGAAACCTGGGTCATGTGTAGAGAAGTTTACAGATAGAATAACTGAGGTGTTT